GTTTGTGTGCTAAAGAAGCACAGTTCGTTCGGCTAGTATTGGCGATGCATTGGAGATTAGAGCAGAGTGGATGACTCTCGAGGAGGTACTAATGAGTGCAAGGTTCATATGTGATATTGAGGGTTCCCCAGATTTGCATATGGCTAAGATCTGAGATTTGCATTGGATGGTGCCGAGACTTGTGGTATTTCTGTATCATTAGTGATTCTAAATTTCACTCTCAGAGAGGTTAGAGGAACAACTTCACAGAAGGTCTCTTCAGAGTTGGCATCTCGGTTGTGGTACTATTGGGTGCTTGAAAGGGAATACAATAGCTTATGGGCTTTAGGAAGACGTGGTTTCATGCTAGGACCTTTTGGGGTGAGTTTTGGTTATGGATCGAGTGTACTGGCGAGGTGAAGTGCTAATTTGAAGGCAAGTCGAGAGGAATTTGAAGAAATGGGTCAGCTTGATAGTTGTTTGGATCATCATAATAATATAAGGGATTGGTTCTTTTGGTGTGGTGAGGCTTTACCGATGTTTTTTGGCAATACTCTTGGGTTTGGAGGCCTGTGTGACTTGGTTGAGTTAGAGGGATCCAGTTCTGATGACTTGGTTTTGTGCAAATGGGTTTCGAAGAGTTCTCGATGGTGTCGACCATGACTTGAGACGGATGTATTCTATAGGTATGAGAAGTATGTTGTGTGTTGTGATTAATTTTTTCTTTCTCCTAGATAAGGGTCAAGTGGAAGGTATCTGACTAATGAAGCATGTATTTTTCTTGCAATCCAGAGTTGATAATGAGATTCTTGTACTTTTCATATGATGGCATGATATATGTGGTGCAACGTGCGAGATTGAGGTTTGCATGTACAAGGTTGCGGTTCCATTTCGAAGAGGAGGTCATGAGTTCTAGACAACATGGGCGATTTCAAATGTTTAGAAGAATGCTGGAACTATTTGGTATCACCTGAGAAGAGTGTGTATTTCAGAAAGGCGTATTGTGTTTTGACTTGAAAATGCTTGATCAGTATTTCGGTAATCGTCTGGTTGTTGACCGCAGATGTTCAAATTTTGCTACATGAAGATGAAGATTCATGGGAATGTTTCTCGTGAGATGATTGTGTATGAGGGATGCATCGGTTGTTGGAGTGCTTGAGTTGGGATCGGGGATGGAGATTCCTGTATTCTTGAGGTTTAGAGACCGGACGTTCTCGGGGGCAGATTGTTCCTTAGTTGCGGAAGGTGAAAGTAAATGTACCTTTGCGAAGAGCAATAGGAAGATCAATATCTTCTGGAGGATCAGGTGGAGGAGGTGGAGAAGGATCCGATGATGAAGAAATGGGTGCAGGACATGTATCATTACTAATCTCTCGCCTCCTTGAGTAAACTTGAACAATTGACGGTCTTTCTAGTGCATATTGAGCAGGTGCTAGCATAGATTGAGCAGGTGATGAAGGCACAACGGTCAGTTGGTGCTCAATAGAAGAGTCAGGAGATAAAGGAACAACATCATCTGATTGTCGAGTAACTTGATAGACTAACCACTCATCTTCCTCTATCTGACTTGTATAAATGGGAGGTACATAGAAAAATGGTATTGTCTCTGAAAATACCACATCAATTGACACCAGATATTTGTCAAGTTCAGTAAAATAGCAGCAATACCCCTTCTGGAGGCGTGAATAGCTCAGGAAAACACACTCAGTGCCTTGGGATCCAACTTGATAACAAATGGTCTAATATCTTGAACATAACATGTGCTTCCAAATAACTTAGGCTCCAACGGAAATAGCAACTTGTTAGGAAAGAGAACACTATAAGGCACATTACCAACAAGCACAGTTGATAGCATGCGGTTAATCAGAAAACAAGTTGCAGAGACTACATCGACCCAAAACTTTTTAGGAACCTTCATTTGGACATAAGTGCTCGAGCTGTCTCAAATAGATGCCTATTCTTTCTCTCAGCAACTCCATTTTGAGAAGGTGTATCATGAAGACTAATGGAGAATACCGTGTTGTCTCATGTAGGATTGAAATAACTCAAACATGTATTCTTTAGCGTTATCACTCTTTAGAATATGCACCGAAGCATTGAAATGAGTTTTAACTTCAGCACAAAAGGCACAAAAGTGAGTAAACACTTTAGAAGGGCTTTTCATAAAATAAATCCAAGTCATTCGAGCGAAATCATCCACAAAAGTAATAAAATACTTATGCCCAGTTTTGGAAATAACAGAACATGGTCCCCAAACATCAGAATGAACTAACTCAAAAGTTGACTCATCCCGCCTATTAATCCTTGGACTTAGCAAGCTGCGATGGTATTTTGCAAGTCATCATGACTCGTAATTCAGTGAAGAGACATTCTGAAACTGGGGACAAAACTTCTTCAACGGAGGTAGAGAAGGATGTACCAATCAACAATATGCTTCAAATGGAGACACATCATTAGAGTAGGCAACAAATCGAGGCTCGTATTCGTCAAGGATGTAGAGGTCACCAGATAGATGTCCTTTACCCATAACTTGCTTCGTCATAAGATCTCGAAAGAGACAATGATCTGGAAATAACGAGATATAACAATTAAGGTCTCTGGTAAATTTCCTAACAGAAATAAGGTTAAAGGCCAACTTTGGTAGATTAACACAGATGACATAGTAATAGATGATGTCAGTTTAACAGTTCCAGATCTCACAATATTACAGGTTGCTCCATCAGCTACAGTCACATGAGATGGTGCTTTGTGTGATTAGAAGATAGAAAAATTATTAGGATTATCTGTCATGTGATTAGTGGCACCAAAATCAATCACCCATTTATTTGAAGAGGTTATAAGACATGTTCTATGTGACTCAAAAAAGGTAGTAACTAAAGCAGATTCCTTAAATGATTCTCGATACAGAGTGAATTTTACAGAGTGGGCCGAAACCATAACATAGTCATTTTTATGACTATCTGTATTCTTATTTCCTCCTGCCTTCTTTTCAGTCATTCTTTTTCAACTAACAAAACTCACGAAATATATTCAAGGGGAGATTAACTAAGTTTCAAGTAGATAGTCAATAAAGATATACTCCACCAGAAATATGACCAAACCAAAGAACCAATGATGCACCAACAAATCACACCAACCAGTAATATACTCCACCAGGAAATATGACCAAGAATAATGAAGTATAGTCAACCACTAAAATAACTTAGAAATTCCAGATTATCCTCAAACTCCAAATAGGTAGGTGGCTGTGCAAGTCCAAATCAAGATAGAAGAAATAAAGTTTAGATGGAAATCAGTAACCTGGGACTTTTTGACGAGACTGTTAATGAGCAGCACTTTTGGGAACAAAAACACCTTCTCAAATCGTGGTCAGTTCGAGTAGAACCCACCATAGACATGCCGAAAATAACGACGTGACCTAGGAACAGTGAACCAAGTCTCCAACCAATCTCCCACGCACCCTCAAGCACTGTCCGGGCAGACTATGTCAGAATTTCTCTACCGGCGCATGGGCTTCACAAACAAAGAATCTAGCCACCGCATTCTAGAAACATGTATATCAAAAAGTAACTGGCCCTTCAAGGGTTGGTGGTGAGAGTTACTTCGCCAGACCAAAGGACTTTCCTAAAACCAGTCAAGTTACTGTGAGACAGTTATTTCTCGGTCGAATTTCAGACCCAACACCGACTATGATATCCTATAACCGGAATTTGAGAGAATAACTTGTGTATTATTCCAATAAGCAAGGGATGTATAAATGCAATGCATTAGGTGCTAACTAAGGAAATAAATAAAGAAAAATCCTACAAATACTGCTACCTATATATGGCTATGCACATTGCTAAGAAATAAGTCTATATACATTTTCTAACAAGTCTATATATATTTTCTAACAAGTCTATATACATTCTCTAACAATAACCAAGTGTGTTATCTGCCTTCTTAGATTTGTTATAATGTTAGTGAGACAAAAAGGTAAAGCATCTCTGCGAAAAGCTTAGTTCTTGGCAGCTCTATAATGGGCAAGAGGCTTGAAGGTTCTTCCAGTTTGATTTTGTAACCTTAACAAATGGTTAAAAGATTACGTTTCTTTCAAAATATTTTTCATTTATTCTAAAACAGTAAGCTCTACACAAGCACGCCTCTACTCAGCCAGAAATTAAATGATCACAATTTTCGTCCCATTTTATGCACGGTGATCTAGTAGGAAAAAAAATGGCATGGTGGGTTTTAGTCAATTAATGTTTTGTGTGGCCTTGAACTATTTTTCTCTTTATTTTAAAACAGGTAATTATATGATAATTGATTAAAATTTAATTGTTTTAAAGATACCAATATGTTGTTAGTACTAAAGTTGATTTTCTAATGCAATAGCCAAACATTAATGATTGATCAACTGACATTGACCACTAAGATTGATATGGTAAACCAAATTATTCTGGTCAACTCAAAAATGATTCTCTTCGAAAAAAGAAAGAGAAGAACTCCCCTTGCAAAGTTGGTGGAGTATCTATATTCCATAAATTGAAACAAATCTCTATATGTAAGACATGAGAATTGGAAATGCAAGAGAGAAGATTCCTATCTCCTCTATTTGTTTAAATAATTTTATTTTCTTATTTTATTTCATTCAATTATAGGATGTTTAGGAATCTTTTTGTCAAAACAGACATTTCTATAAGTGCAATACAAGCACAATCCACAAATCTAATTTATAAGAAACTGGTGTCCCTTAAAATGATTTTAGACACTCTACCCTTTTTCTGATTAATAATCACGTGAAAAGAAAGAGAACAAAACTAAAAAAACTAATGAAAGATGCAAAGAACCAGTCAATCTCAACGCAGAAAGTCTTAAGCCAACTTCTTTTTTGTTTGAGTACAATTAAATAGCCACCTGTACCTTACAAGAAAAAGAATAGAAACAATCAGAGAGAGTGCGAGAGTAAAAGGACACCTTTGTCTAACTCTTCCCAATTTGCCACAAATAGCGCATCTGTAACTTACAGGATAAGAAAAGAATTAAACAATCAAGAAGAAACAAAAAAGGAAAAAAGAAACAAAAGACTTTTTGGACTTCAATTCCCAACTTCATAAAAAAATGAAGAAAAAGTGGTATGGCACTACACTAATATTAAAACTTGAAAGAAAGTGAGGACTGGCTCTCCAGCAGCAATCATTGACTTCTCAAATCTTCCCCCGTGGAAGTTGGAATATTGGAACTTGGTGGAGCTTCATGATCTACTGCCACTTGGGGTGCAATGGAAGCAAGAGCTGTCACTGAGGAGCTGCATGATAAGGGTACTTCCGAGGGGGTACATGGGGATGCAGGTGCTGGAAGGGAATTTGAAAGCATCTTTGAGACGGCAGGTATAGGATACACTTCTGTTACTTCTTCTATGCCCTCATCCAGATACACAATATCTTGCATGGTTAATTGGTGGTACTCCACAATCTCTCTTAAGAAGCGATTCTCACGAGCATACACGGAATTCTCATGTGCTAGACGAGCCTTCTCTGCTAATAGTGTCTCAAGTTGAAGGCGTATCTGAAATTTTAGATTATAGAAAGCATTAGTTCTTCACCACGCACGGTGTTTAAGGATTTCAAATGTTAAAATGAAAAGGATAAAGGCATTGTGTAGGTCGTTATGGCACTTTTCACTAAGAAAATTCAAAATATACAAAACTAAACACACGAGAAAGATAATGGTATTCAACATATATTATATATATATAAATAGTATGACCTTGTATATACTGTATAATTTTCTGACGAAGATGGTTCAGACCCCCTTGCAACCCCCTAGTTCCCCGTCCATGCTCAATGGCGTAACATATGATATACTAGCAAAAAAGAACACATACATGATTAAAGTCACTAGTAATATAACCATATTGTATCCAATTAGCAAAGTTGGTTTAAGGTAATGCTTAGATTTCTTATGCAAAAAAAACTCAATCTCTAAGACAAACTTTTACAGACTGTATCCACTGCATCTTGCTGCCCCTGATGACTTAAGAAGGAAGAAGAAGAGGTACTATCAAAGGAATATTTAATATAGAAAAACCATATTACATTTGTGCAAGTAAGTGAAGGATTACCATGTCATCAACTGCAGGATTGTCTCCCTTTTCACAAGACTCTCGAAGGACTTTATTTTCTTCTCCCAGCTGAGAACACCTTAGTTTTGCGAAAGCAAGATATGCTTTAACAGTTTTCAACTCTCGTAAAAGAAGCTTGGCTTTGGCAGCATTTGCCATTGCCACCTGAAACCCAAAAGACAGGTCCATAATGCACTTCACTTGTAAGGATATAATACCAAAGGAAGTTCATAGTAAACCCACACAAGAATTCAGAACAATGAGAGCTCTGTGAACCTGTGTTCTACCATTTAGAGTAATGATGAGATCTCGTTCTGTCAAGTACACTATTGGTATTGAAGGTAATCAGATGAACTACAACTAAAATGCGAATGTAAAAATATGTTGTCCGAGATTAATAATTGTATTTATATACTTTGCTCGGATAATGTCTTTAAAGCTCCTCATGCTTCAAAATGTAAAAAGAAAGAAATCTTTTCTCATAATTGTTGCGGTTACAGCAATTATTGTATTATTTAGTCACTCAGACAGGATGTTGCCACTTGCCAAAAGTACAACGTAATATTGCAGTTACTTCAGATTTTGACTGCAGTTGTGAAGTAGACTTGAAATTTTTAAAAGCATTCTCTCTGGAAAATTAAGGCCTTGGTACTACATGACTAAGAAATACAGAATAACAAGTTGCCAACTCACATCACGAGAAGCCTTTAGTTGATCTTCATGATTGGTTTGTGTATGTGGCTGAGTCGTTTGCCTTGAGGATTGCTGCCATGCGCTATGTAGGCTAGAAACATGATTTTGTTCCTCAAAGTTGGTACCTTTTCTCCTGATCTGCAGTTTGCGTGTCTCTTGAATAATGTCAGTAGTCTTGTTCTCAACAATTGTACGTCCCTCCTGAGAATCAAGAAAAACTTATGTTGAAGCAGCACGTACCTGATTAGGAAATCACATAAACTATAAACTATTCTCATGAAAATCAACTAGCTTCAGATAACAAATTGAGCCGTGTTAAGTATTTGTCCTCATTTTCTTACCATATTTGGTTTTCCTATTCTCTGAAGGAAGAGCAACATATTTACCATAATTGATTTTACCTTTTACGAAAAGAAAAATATAATTCTTTCATATTTGGCTAGTCTCTTTTCTTGGAGGAAAAAGTTTTGGACCTCTATAAGTTGAGGATTCTTACTTCTCATTTAGTAGCATTCACAATGTAGTCCCTTAAAGGGTTTGAGAGTCTTCTTTAGAGGGAGAATTTGTGAGACAAGTGTTATGCTGTCTCTTGTCTGTGCCTCTTTGTGAGATTGTTCTCTCGATAATTTGTACTCTCTTTTATATAGTTGAATGCTCATCTTCATATGTGGACGTAGGTCAATTGACCGAACCACGTTAAATGTTTGTGTGTCTTTTGGTATATTTCTTTTTTGTTATCTGATTTATCGTTGTTAAAGGTATGCTTTATTTGCTTCTATATGACACTTGATTATTTCGGTCCGAACACCATTATCCTTGTTAATTATGAGTTTCAATGATGAAAAATAATATATCACATGTGGTGCAGGTACAAAAGGAATAAAACAAAGGAATCAAGAAGCAATACCATTCAAGAATAGATTAAGGAAACAATCTATTACTGGAGCAATGCAAAGGAAAGAATCAATAATTAGAGATGAAAAAGGAAGAAGCAGCAGAGATATGGAAGAAGAATCAATCAATGATTCAATAAATGATTGACGGAAGATATTACAGGAAGGTCCCAAATCAAAAGAAAATAATATCGCAAGGGCTGCACTGGAGATTGTTGAAGCCAGAAATCAAGGGATCTATCGCAAATCACTCAAGTTACGAAAAGATATGCCTAGCGAATGAAAAGCTTGTCAAGACCTCAAATCAAGGAAGATCAACGAAAACTTGACTTTATTCTTAGAAAGAATCAATCTATGATTCCGTTCAAGGATTAACTCTCTTGGGTTTGCAATCTCTCAAGATTCAAGATGGCCTCGCGAAGTATATATATACATATGTTCTAGACTTGAAGAAAATATACCTTGATCAAACCAACTTCAATCTCTTTGTTCTACTTCAAACAAAATAGTGTAGTCTGTTCTAGATTTCTTGTGTAACAAAGAAGAGAAGAAAGAGATAAAAATACTGGTGGGGCATTGTATCAATTATAGAGAGAAGAACGAGTGACAAAAGTTGTTGGTGTATAACAACATCAACTCATCTGTATTAAGCCACTTCATACTTCAAAGAGACCACCCTTGAAACCCAAGGGGACTGGATGTAGGATTCACTCTGAATCCGAACCAGTATAAAAACATATTGTGTCATTCACTTTCTGTAATTTATCTTTTTTATTCGACTCTTGGAAGGCCAAGTCGACTAGAACTCAAATTAGTCGACTACTGCGAAAAAGAAAAGAAAATTCACAATTCACCTCCCC